CCAAGTATAGTTCTTTTTTTTTTAATTATTTTTATTTTATATGCATAGGTGCTTTGCCTACACACACCACACACACACACACACACACACACACACACACACACACACGTATATATTTGAGGGTAACAAGTCCCCTGTAACTGGAGTTAGAGACAGTTGTAAGCCTCTACGTGGGTGCTGGGAATTGAGCATGGGTCCTCTGGAAGAGCAGTCAGTGCTCTTAAGTGTTGAGCCATCTCTCCAGCTCCCCAAGTATAGTTCATTTGTGTGTGTACTGTAGCTTTCTACTCATCTTTGTGAGCACCAAGGATCAAGATTGCAGTCTCACAGGGTAAAAGTACATTTAGCATAATAAACTGCCCAACTGTCCCCCCCCCCCAAGTCACTATAGGGGGCCTTCTCCCTAGGTCGCCATTCTTGAAGTTTTTGTGTCTTCCAAGGCCGTTGGAGGCTCCGCCTTCAAGCTCTGAGACTCTGTGTGGAAAGAACTTGGCCCTGGAGCGCGATAACACTGCAGCTGGGTTTTATAAACGAAGAAAGCATTCACACACAATCCGAACCCACACTGGGGTGTGTCGTGCGCGCCTGTGAGCATTGCTTGGAGGTTGAACTAGCTAATCGTATGTGGGTGGTGTACAGAAGTGACTGTCAAAGAGAAGGGGTCACCTAACCTTGTACTGGGGCAGAGGGGCAAAGCCCCTCACACGTGATCCTAGAATCTTCTGGAGTTGGGGGTGGGGCTTGCTTTGGTCACCTGCCAGACAGTGCTCCGCCTCTGTGACGTGGGTAGCCGTTCCCAAGGGTGCCCCTCTCCACCTGGGTGGCCGCCGACCGCCCCGCGGCCGGTGGGTGTCCCGCGATGGGGCAGCCGGGAGCGGCTGGCCGGGCCACTCGGGCCGCTGTCCCCGGCCACCCGCCACCATGCCTTGGTGGAGTAACTTCTGCTGTAAGTAGCGTGCCCACCCCCTGACCGGGGGTAAGTAGCTCGGGGTGGCAGCGACTGGGAAAGGTGACTCCAACTCTATCGGTCTTCCTGAGGGTCCCAGCGGGCCAGGATTAAAGTGGACTCAGCCTTGGAGAGCGGGCCCAAGCCAAGCATCCATGGCCATGTGCTGATCATGCGGAAACCCACCTCAATCTAACCTGGAGACGAGCGTGATTTCACACAGGGGCAGTACACGAGGCTACCCAAGAGCAGATTATCACAGTAACCTAGCTTGGCTGGCAGAGGGAGAGACAGAAAACTAACCCAGATGGGAAAGGCCATTGTCAGTCTGGAGCGAGCAAGCAGGACCGTGGAGGGAGATGGATGGATGGGGTCCACTTGCGTGGGCTGCTGCATCGCATTGTGTCCGCGCGCGGCTAAGAAATCGAGTCTAGGCATCCCCGTAGGTTTCAAGCGCATGACGTGGGGGCAGGACGCAGGCTGTGCAAATGCGCGTGTGCGCCACAGGGGTGCACGAGGACATGTCTGTATCCTGTTGGAACCTGATTTAACCGGTCTTGGGCCTTGTAGTTGCGAAGGCTAAGCACAAGGTCCTGGGCCACCAGATGTTTGATAGCTTGGCTATGCAGTTGAGGCCAAATTTTTGGAAGTAGAACCTCCCTGTAAGTTCTGTACAGATTGAGGTCGGGGTCGAGGCAGGAGACAAGTGGAAGCCGAGACCCACAAAACTGTGAGTGTCCAACGTCATAGGCAAATGGGGGAAAATGGATGCCATGCGGAGGAGCTGGGGTTGCGTCAGAAGATTGTTCTGACAACAGTGTGGGTTTTTACCTACACGGACATTGTAGACTAGTAGGCCAGTTAAGGCTTCAAGACTTCCCAAGATTTAGGAGTCCATAAAAACAGTTTCCTATTGCTTAGCCATTGAGCTGTCAGGAGTCTGTCTAATCCTGCTAGTTGACTGGCATATTGTTTGTTTCTGTATCCTTTCTCTCAACTCCAGACATTCCAATGTAGAATTAAAAAGAGGGAAAGGCTGGAGCCTGGAGAGATGCCTCAGAGATTAAAAACACTTGTTCTTAGCCAGGCAGTGGCGGCACACACCTGTAGTCCCAGCATTTGAGAGGCAGAGGCAGGCAGCTCTCTGAGTTTGAGTCCAGCCTGGTCTACAGAGTGAGTTCCGGGATAGTCAGGGCTCTATAGAGAAAACTCTGCTTCAAAACAAACAAAAACATCTAAAAGTATTCCAAATTAAAACTTGGATTTTGGAGGCAATGGTGTGGAACCCTGCATTTTCCCATATTGTTGAAAAAAATCCCTGCATTTCATAATCTCAGAGAGGGCAACGGGTGGTTTTAGTCTTGGGCTTGTGGCAGGATGCTCAGTTCATACTTTTACTGCTCACTGGTAATTTTTTAGAGTTTGTCATTGCTTGGATCAACCTCCCCACACACACACAGGCAGTACAGAGTCCACAGTCACCTTCAATAAACAAAAAGTCACATCTTTTCCTGCATTGGAATATTTCTGAACATTAGGCTAGAGAGCTTGCCTGCCTGCCCAGGGTTCAATCCTTGGTGCTGCATTAACAGGCTTCTGTAACTTCTGTAACCTCAGTCAGTAGTTCAAGGTAATCTCCTTGATGTGTGCGACCTTGTCTCAGAATAAATCAAAGGGAAATGCTTTAAAAAAATTAATGAAAAGGCATACATAATATTTTTTTTAGATTGAAGTTTTAGGTTAGTATACAACAGCAGGCTTCCTTGCGGCATCTCCATACATCCGAGTTTGCTAACTCCCTCGCTGTTTCCACTTCCTGGCTATCCCGGTAGTGCAGCAACAAACACGGTCGTGCAGGAAACTGTGTGGGGTGCAGACTAGTCCTGTGGGTCCACACATGTATAGTTGCGTTGTACTGATCCCAAACGTATGGGTGCACAGATTGTCATTCATTCCTATCAGGAGCAAATCAAGGGTGGCTCTTCAATGCGGAAAAGGATCCATGAGCAGTGTAACTGTGTCTAAATTTTCACTTCGCTTTGGATGTTTGTCTCGATGTTTAATATGATGGTCATTTTGCTTTATTAAAAAGTTTGACGGTCTTCTCCCCCCCCCCCAAAAAAAAATCTCCTTTCAGTGACTTTTCCCCCTGATTATCTGTCTGATACTCAGAAGCGGGGTGTGTGTGTGTGGGTGTGATTGCTGTGTTGCTAATCCTCCCAGTTACTGCTGCTGTCCATCCCCACCCCCCCCCAAGCCTCATTACATCATGTGGCCTTGCTTTTACATTCAATGATTTTTTTAAATGCCAATATATGCGTGTGTGTGTGTGCGCGTGCGCATGCGCGCATACATTATATACATATATAATATATATGTGTAAGCCCAGCACCTGGGGGTGGGGTAAGAGGAGAGAGGACAGAGGACAGAAGCTGAAGAACATTCTTGGCTACACAGTACATTCAAGGCCAGCCTGGACTGAGTGAGGAGTATCTACAAACTAACTAAAGAGAATGACTTCATGGATCAAACTGAAACGTTTATCAACATTTTCCCCCTCTGTAAGACGTATGTCTTGAGGCTGGTTAGAGTGCCCTCCACAGAAGCGTGGGGGATCTGAGTTCACTTCCCAGACCCCACAGAAAAGGTCGAGGCAGTGGAAGCAGTGTTCCCAGGACTTGGTGGCCTCCAGGTTCAGTGAGAGACCATACGATGACTCAGCGAGCAACGGCGCTTTGTGCCATGAGTGATGAACCTAGTTCAACCACTGGAACTCACAGGGTAGGAATAAAGGACCATCTCCCACACTGACTTTCAATGTACTTTGTGGCAGGACCCTCCAACACAAAGCAAATAAGTGAAAAATAAATAAAATGGTGGACTAAGGAAGACCTCAATATCATCCCCCATGCAGATACACAGACGTGTACACGCATAACACTCCCCCACATACATTGTCTTTTGGCTGTGTTTTGTTTGTAGATAGGGTCTCACTGTGTAGCCCCTAGCTGTCCTTGAGCTCACTCTCTAGGCCAAGCTGGCCTTCAAATCACAGGTATCTGCTGCTTCTGTTACCCAAGTGCTGGGATTAATGTTATGTGTAACCATGCCAAGCCTGCTTTTCTTTTTCAATAGTTTCTTTTTACTTTATGTGCGCCGGTGTTTTGCGAGGGTGTCTGACCCACTGGAACTGGAGTTACAGGTGTGACCTGTTGTCTGAACCACTGAGCCATTTCTGCAGCCTCCCTCCCTCTTTAGAAATCACGCTCCTTCATCCTCATTTACTGGGTTTTGATTTTGTACCGCTACTCATGGATTCAGGTGTTTGCTTTTTAAGATTTGCTTATTTTTACTTCCCATAAGTGTTTTGCTTGCGTGCCTGCCCGTGTACCATGTGTGTTCAGTGCCCACAGAGGCCAGGAGAGGGAGTTGGATCCAGTTACCATGTGGGTGCTTGGAATAGATCCTAGGTCCCCTACAAAACTTGCTAGTGTCCAGCCTATGGACCGAATTAATACCTTGATAACTAAGGGAAGGGGAAGAACCTTTGAACTTGAAGTTTAATGGGCAAGTACTCATTGCCCATTGAAGACAGAAATTTCTGGACCGCCCGATCCCGCAGCAGTTTGGACCCAAATAAATACATAGAGGCTTATATTAATTATAAACTGTTTGGCTGATGGCTTAGGCTTCTTACTGGCTAGCTCTCTCTTTATAATCTATTTCTATTAAACTATATTGCCACGAGGATGTGGCCTACCCGTAGTAATGCTCCTGCTCCCCCTGGAGATTGCTTCCCTGCCTTTCCTCTTCCCAGCAGTTTTAGTCTGATAGTCCCGCCTGTACGTCCTGCCTTGCTCCTGGCCAATCAGCATTTATCCATCAGCCAATAAGAGAAACATAATATTCACAGCATGCAGAAGGACCTCCCCCATCAGCCCTTCTATTAAACATCAACAAACACGTACATAATCTTTTCATTAGTATTTATCGGAGTATTTTGGGTTTTGGACTAAATACTTTTCCCCGTCTTCTCCTTTGTCTTTATTAACAGTTGGACAGAGAGAGTCAGAAGATGTGAGAGAAAAAGACCGAACTAAAGAAATGGCTGCCAACTCTGCAGTTGTTGAAGACATCACAAAGGATGGGCAGGAGGAAACACCTGAAATAATCAAAGAGATCCCTGCTTCAGAGAACGTTGTAGAAGAAACGGCACAGCCCGCAGAGTCCCAGGCTAACGATGTTGGCTTTAAGAAGGTATTTAAGTTTGTGGGCTTTAAATTCACCGTGAAAAAAGATAAAAATGAGAAATCTGATCCTGTCCAGCTCCTCACTGTCCAAAAGGATGAAGGCGCAGAAGCCACAGTTGGGGCCGGTGACCACCAGGAGCCCGGCATGGAGACAGGAGAGTCCGCACCCAAAGAAAGTGAGCTGAAGCAATCCACAGAGAAGCCGGAGGACACCCCGCAGCAAGCACAGAGCGGCACAGAAGAAATTCCCCTTCAGGCGGAATCTGGTCAGCTGGCCGAGGAAGAAGCCAAAGACGAAGGAGAAGAGAAACAAGAGAAAGAACCCACCAAATCCGCAGAATCTCCGACCAGCCCAGCCAGCGGCGAGACAACATCTTCCTTCAAGAAATTCTTCACGCACGGTTGGTCCGGCTGGCGCAAAAAGACCAGCTTCAAGAAGCCGAAGGAGGATGAGCTGGAGGCTTCGGAGAAGAGAAAGGAGCAAGAGGCAGAAAAAGTCGGCGAGGGAGAAAATGACAAGGCAGAAGGTCCTTCTGGGCAAGCTCCAGCGTCTGAGCAGCAGGAGCCCGCAGGAGACACACACCAGGCCAGGTTGTCCGCAGACTATGAGAAGGTGGAGCTGCCCCTGGACGACCAGGTCGGTGGGCTGCAGGGAGCATCCGAGGAGAAGTGTGCTCCGCTGGCAACTGAAGTGTTTGATGAGAAAGTGGAAGCCCAACAAGAAGTTGTTGCGGAAGTCCATGTGAGCACTGTAGAGAGGATGCCGGAGGAGCAAGGCGTGGAGGGGGCCGAAGGGGATGTGAAAGACACAGGAGAATCATCGCCCCCTGAAAAACTGGCCGAGGAGGCCCCTCCTCAGGAGGCTGCTCCTGCTGAGGAGCCGCTGAATAGCAAAGAATTGCGTGACTCTGCAGGTGACCATACACAGCTGACCGATCTCAGTCCCGACGAGAAGGCGCTGCCCAAACACCCGGAGGGCATTGTCACTGAGGCGGACCTGCTGTCTTCCCAAGAGAGGATCAAGGCTCAGGGAAGCCCTCTGAAGAAACTCTTCAGTAGCTCGGGCTTGAAGAAGCTGTCTGGGAAGAAGCAGAAGGGGAAACGAGGGGGCGGAGGAGATGAGGAGCCAGGAGAACTCCAGCAGGTTCAAACCGAGTCCCCAGAGAGCACTGATGAACACAAGGGCGAGAGCTCTGCCTCGTCCCCGGAAGAGCTGGAGGACACGCCCTGTCTGGACAAAGGGCTGTCGTCGGAAGTGCACCAGGAAGGCGAAGCCGAGGAGGGCGCCACTTCTGACGGAGAGAAGAAAAGGGAAGGAATCACTCCCTGGGCATCCTTCAAGAAGATGGTAACACCCAAGAAACGGGTCCGAAGGCCTTCCGAGAGTGACAAGGAAGACGAAGTGGACAAGGTCAAGAGTGCCACTCTGTCCTCCACGGAGAGCACCATGTCAGAAATGCAAGAAGAAGGCAAAACCGTTGGAGAGGAGCAGAAGCCAGAAGAACCAAAGCGCAAGGTGGACACCTCTGTGTCGTGGGAGGCGCTCATTTGCGTGGGCTCATCCAAGAAAAGAGCGAGGAAGGCGTCATCTTCAGATGACGAAGAAGGGCCCAGAACAGTGGGAGGGGATGGTCACAGAGAGGAAGAGGCCAGCAAGGACAAGGAAGCTGGAGCAGAAGCCGTCCCTGCCAGCACAGAGGAGCATGATCAAGCGCAAGGAGGCTCCTCACCCGAGCCAGCTGGAAGCCCTTCTGAAGGGGAAGGTGTCTCCACCTGGGAGTCCTTTAAAAGGCTAGTCACCCCGAGAAAAAAATCCAAGTCAAAGCTGGAAGAGAAGACAGAAGACTCCGGCACAGAGCCATTGGCTTCAGACATTGAGCCGAGCAAAGAGGAATCTTGGGTTTCCATTAAGAAATTTATCCCTGGACGGCGGAAGAAAAGGCCAGACGGGAAGCAAGAACAAGCCACTGTTGAAGACGTGGGGCCAGCAGAAGTCAATGAAGACGACCCAGATGTCCCCGCCGTTGTGCCTCTGTCTGAGTACGACGCGGTGGAAAGGGAGAAGATGGAGCTGCAGCAAGCCGAGGAGACTGAGGAAGGACCCCAGCTACACGGGTCCGTGTACGTGTCTGAGGAGGTTAGCAAGACGCTGGTCCACACCGTCAGTGTGGCTGTCATTGATGGGAGCAGGGCAGTCACCAGTACCGAAGAGCGGTCTCCTTCTTGGATATCCGCTTCCGTGACGGAACCTCTTGAACACGCCGCAGATGAAGCCACACCCTCCACTGAGGAGGTCACCGAAAGAGACATCATTGCAAAAGAAACACCCACGGTCACCCAGACATTACCAGAGGGCAAAGATGCCCATGACGACGCGGTTATCAGCGAGGCGGAGTTCACCTCTGAAGCTGTGACAGCTGCAGAAACCACAGAGGCTCTCCGTGCTGAAGAAGTCACTGAAGCCTCAGGGGCAGAAGAGACCACGGACATGGTGTCAGCGGTTTCCCAACTAACTGATTCTCCAGACACCACAGAGGAAGCCACCCCGGTCCAGGAGGTAGAGGGTGTGCCGGACAGAGAAGAGCAGGAGCGGCAGACACAAGCCGTCCTCCAGGCAGTTGCAGAAAAGGTGAAAGAGGAGCCCCAGGCGCTTGCCACCCAGACTGTGCAGAGATCGGGGCCGAAAGCATTGGAGAAAGTGGAGGAGGTCGAAGAGGATTCCGAGGTGCTAGCCGAGGCGAGAGAGAGGGATGTCGTCGTGCTGGAAGAGCCCGTGCAGGGAGGTGAAGCTAAGCATTCTTCTGCACGGGGCTCTGAGATGGGACAGAGTACTCCAGACAGCCTCAAAGCCGTTCCCGACGACGACGATGTCACTGCAGGTGTAGAGTTGAAGGATGGGGTTACCACATGCCAGGCTGGAGAGCCCCAGCAGCTGATGGATCAAGGTGTAGCCCCCGACTCATCCGAAACCCTCACAGACAGTGAGACAAATGGAAGTACTCCCCTAGCAGATTCAGACGCTCCAGATGTGACACAGCAGGACGAGGCCGTTGAAAGCCAGGACAGTAAAGCCATTGCAGCTGACGGGCAGTCACAGGTCACAGAGGCTGAAGCAGCTCCTGCTCAGGAGGAGGGACCTTCGGTGCCACCCAGTTTCCCGCCCCAGGAAGAAGAACACGGGGAAACACCAGGGAGAGATGTTCTAGAACCAACACAAGACTTTGCTGTGGAAGCAGTGCCCGACCTGGCAAAGACCGAGGTGGGCCCAGAGGCCGGCCACTCTGATGGCGAAGGAGGCAAAGACGGACTATGTGTGGAAGGACACACAGATGGACCCGACAGCCGAGAAAAGGTTGCAGACGCAATGGGAGCACCCGAGTGTCAAGAAGAGGAGGAGACGGAGGAAGTGCAGAGCATCAGCCCGGAGGAGACAGAGGTGGGAGCCGATGTTGAGAAGGAGAAAATGGAAATAAAGCTGGAGCAAGTGAGTCAAGAACCTGAGGGGACAGCGGCCACCCCCGAGCATGAAGAAACCCACCCGCAGCCCACCCAGACCGCTGATACGTCCGACTCAGAGGGGGAAAAGGAAGTGAGCAGCCTTGAAGGACACCCTTCTCTCCCAGACCAAGACAAGGCAGGTTGCATAGAGGTTCAAGTTCAAAGCTCCGACCCACCGGTAACCCCAATGGCCATACCTGTGAGGGAGGTTGCAGAAGAGGTCAAGATTGCAGAAGCGGATGAGCGTGTGGGTGCACACTTAATGCCATCAGAGAAGTCCTCCGAAAAGGGTGACCACTGGCCCTTGGGGCCTGAGTCTCAAGCAGAGTCAGTCCCAGTAATAGCATCTCCCGCTCCCGAAAGCACCCTACATTCCGACCCGCAAGGAGAGATAGGCGCATCCCAGAAACAGAGATCAGATGACGAAGATGACGAGCAGACTGATGGCCCTGATGGCAAGGAGAGCGCAGCAAGGGAGGGAGAAGCTGTGGCCTTGGAGCTCCAGAGCGAGAGCACCAAGCTTGTCCAGAACATCATCCAGACAGCCGTGGACCAGTTCACTCGTACGGAAACAGCCCCCACGGCTTGCCCTCCTGATTCACAGACCCAGGTTCCGGTGATGCAGGCTGACAGCCAGGGAGCTCAGCAGATGCTGGACAGAGAAGAGAGCCGCCATCAAGCCTCCGCTCAAGAGGAAGCTGCTGCTGCTGCAGCCCAAGAGGGACTTGCCCTTACAGACATTTCCAAAGGCATGAGCGAGCCTTCAGAAAAGGTCAGCACGTTTGCAGTTGACCAGCAGTGTGAGCGGGTGATTGTCCCGCTTGGGGCAGAGGGAGATGGAAACGGAGCAAAACCTGTGCCAAGTGATGATTGTGCCAAATTAGGAGAAGGCGTAGAGAAGCTGCCACCTGAATCCAAAGATCCAAAGGGGCATGCTGCTGATGGCCCCCAACACCAAAGCTCAGCCCAGGCAGAGGCGGATGCCTCGGGAAACCTAACCAAAGAGTCTCCAGACGCCAACGGACCAAAGCTAACGGAGGAGGGAGATGCCCGGGAAGTAGGGGTTCAGGAAGGAAAAACACACACCGAGACCAAGCCCCAGACAGAAGAGGACCTACAGGAGCCGGAGGGAGACTTGGCAGAATCCTAAGATATTGGGTAGGTAAACATCTATCAATTACGTGGCAATAATTGATTTTAGAGAATAATTATCAACTGGAGTAGGAGCAAGGGTAGATTTTTCTTTTTCTTCTTCTTTTTTTTTTTTAATGTGCATTGGTGTTTTGCTTATGAGAGGGTGTCGGATCTTCTAGAGCTGGAGTTACACAGTTGTGAACTTCCATATGGGGCTGGCAGTTGAACCTGGGTCCTCTGGAAGAGCAGACAGTGCTCTTAACCACTGAGCCATCTCTCCAGCCTACTTTCCCTTTTTTTCCCCCCCTCGTCAGAATCCCACTAAGTCTTACTGATGTCATGAAAATAATGGCTTCCCTTTATTTTTATTTATTTATTCATTTATTGAGACAGGGTCTCACCATGTAGTCCTCGATGTCCTGGAACTCACCATGTTAATTAACCAGGCTGGCGGCCTCTGCCCTCCTCCTTCCCATGCTGGGGATTAAAGGTGTTTGCTACCATACCTAGATCAGCCAGAACTTTTGACATTTTAGCCTAGGGCCGGGAGAGGTGCCTCAGTGGTTACGAATGTGTACTGCCGGGACTGGAGGGATGACTTGGTCATTAAAGGCTGGGCTCCCAAGCAAAAATGTAAGAATGTGTGCTGCCCTCGTAGAGGAAAAGGGGTCGATTCCCAACACCTGTGTCAGGCAGCTCACAGCCACCTGCAACTCCAACCCTAGTGGAATTCAACCTTCTGCCCTCGCCATACCCCCGTGACCATATTCGTACCCATACAAAGACACATAAGTCAAAATCCTCTTTTCAAAACTAGTTTATGGCTACTGGGAAAAGCAGGGACCCCCACCCCCGGCAGCATTGACAAGCCGTTTTTTTTTTTTTTAGCTTGCAGTGCACCTGAACCTGCTGATCAGCCTTGCAGTAGTGGGACACAATGTGGACCATGCTGACTTTTGTTTTAGCCCAGGGTGGCCTTGAACTTGCTATGTAGCTAGGGATGAAACAGATGACCTTGGATTCCTGATCTTCCAATTCTTCCGTGCTGAGTGTCTCATCATACCTGAACTTGTCTTTTTTGTTTCTTGTTTGGTTTTTGCTTTGCTTTTTCGAGACAGGGTTTCTCTGTAGCTTTGAAGCCTGTCCTGGAATTCGCTTTGTGTAGACCAGGCTGGCCTTGAACTCACAGAGATCCTCTTGCCTCTGCCTCCTGAGTGCTGGGATCAAAAGGTGTACACAACCATGTCCAGCTTTCCTATTTGTGTTTTTAGAGATTGTGTAGCCCAGGCTGGGCTTGAACTCCCAGCAATCCTCCTGCCTTCAGTCTCCTATCAGTAGACTACAGGCATGAGCTACCATATCTGGTAAGGTGCCACCCTCCCCCGCAGAGAGGATTTCTCTGTAACTAGCTCTTGTAGACCATGCTAGTCTTGAACACACTGAGATCCGCCTGCCTCGGCCCCCGAGTGCTGGGATTAAAGGCATGCACCACCATGCCTGGCCCATAAGATGCATTTCTATGTGCCGTGTTGAGGTTGGAATCCAGGGCTTGTTCTAGGTCAGCATTCCTCAGCCTATAAGGACATCCCCACTCCTATGTGCCCGTGTGTGTGTGTGTGTGTGTGTGTGTGTGTGTGTGTGTGTGTGTGTGATTTTTTTTTTTTTTTTTTTTAAAGATTTATTATGTATACAGTGTTCTGTCTGAATGTATGCCTGCAGGCCAGAAGAGAGCACCAGATGTCATTAAGATGGTTGTGGGCTATCATGTGGTTGCTGGGAATTGAACTCAGGACCTCTGGAAGAGCAGCCAGTGCTCTTAACCATTGAGCCTTCTCTCCAGCCCATGTGTGTGTCTTAACAGTATGGAGGATCCACTGAACCATCTTCCTAGCCCTTAGAAATGTTGGATGGTCGCACGTGTTCGTGCCTGCATAATGTGGGTGGGGTAGGGTGCCTATGCCATGGTTTGTGCTTGTGTGGTAGAAGGAGTGGATCAGAGGACACCTTCTGAGGGTTAAACTCAGGTCTCCACAATGGTGTAGCAAACACCATCTAGCCGAGCTCTTTTTCTTCTGAGAAAGGATTTCTCTGTGTAGCTCTGGAGACTGTCCTGGAATTCACTTTATAGACCAGGCTGTCCCCGAACTCACTGACATCCACCTGCCCCCCCCCCTCCAGTGCTGGGATTAAAGGTGTGTGCCACCAGCGGGCCCCTTTTTTCCTTTTAATGGATTTCAATTCCAGTGTCCCCAAACACCCCCATCGCTCTTGTGCAGTGGCTCTGTCAACAAATTGAGGCAGGAGAAGAGGTCTTTATTTCTCTCTCCTTTCTTACTCCTACAGTTACTCATTGTATATCTGCAAGGCCAGAATGTGAAGACAAGCCACAGAACAAAACGCTGCTGTTGGGACCTTGAGACCAAGATTGCCGAGCCCTTGAGATTCAGAGAGTGGGGCATCCACTGACTTCAACCTTGGAGAGCACCCCGACAATCCTGAGGCTGCACCGGGAGCTAGAGCCAGCTAACGTTTCCTTATTTCAAGACTGCTTTTGATCCCCCCCTCCCCCTTGATACCGTATATTTCTGATTGAAGGTCCTACATTCCACCTGGAACGGATGTCGGCAATACCTAGTTCTACTTCTCAAACTGGAGCATCCTCTATGTATTTATATGTATGTTTCTGTAGTCCTCCTCATGTACTTATTGTATATTTTTCCTAACGTTTAAGCACATGCCTTTTGTATCACGCAACATATGGTGGATGTGCAGCCAGTTTGAAGCCTTGAGAAGCTCCAAGCCTCAACTATATTAACCTGTGGCAGACAAGGATGTAACATTCCTGAGAGGGAGGTACAAGTCATTTTAAACTTCATTGAGGCTTAGGTTTATGGGTTTAGTCGTCCTCTGAAAGTGGTCGTTTTCCTACACACAGGGAGCTCAGAAATAAAACACCATTTGGAAACATCCAGAATGTCCCGATGTTACTGTGACGTGTTTCTTTCTAGTCCAGTTCAGGTTTGGAAAGTAGTCTCCTTAGTGGCAGATTAAGCCCCTTCTCTTAATGACATGGACAGATGATTGTGCCTAAGGCCGTGGTGATACCTTTTCCATCTTATGCAGAAGGAAATCTGTTGTACTTTTTGATTGTACTCTTATATGCTGGATCGAATTCGTACGCAGAACAAAGTGAGTCCCGTTCTTTATAAAATGGTATTTTGATAGATACTGGAGTGTGTCTGTGTTATACCTGTGCCCCTTTTAAGAACAATGTTGCATTATGTTCATTTGAATAAATTGTGATTTGACAACTGATTTAAATAAAATATTTGCTTCACTTAGATTCACTGGGTTTTGTGTGTTTTGTTTCTGAGACAAGGTTTTCCTGTGTAGCCCTGGCTGTCCTGGAACTCCCTCTGTTGGCCAGGCTGGTCTTGAACTTAGATATCCACCTCCCTCTGCCTTCCAAGTGCTGGGATTAAAGATGTGTACCACCACCGCCCAACTCTATTCACTTTTATAGACAAATCTATCTTTATTATGAGTACATGCATGTATGGTTGGATACCAGAAGAGGTGGCCAAATCTCATTATAGATGGCTGGGAACTGAACTTAAGGCCTCTGGAAGAACAGCCAGTGCTCTTAACCCGTGAGCCATCTTTGCAGACTGATTGAGCGGTTTTTATTGAGTGCTAAGGGGCCTGGGTCCCATGCACTGTGTTAGAATAAAATACTGACAAGACAATGAGGGACAAGCTGGGACCCGAACCCAGTCACCCATGAAGACATCAGGTCACTGCACTGCTTTGACACAGAGGAAGCCATGATGGGGAGGGGTTTTGTTGAAGAAAACCAGTAGAGGCAGGTGTTGTGATGTAATCCCTGTAATCCCAACACTCAGAAGGCAAGGCGAGAGGATTGCTAAAGTTCCAGACTAGCTAAGAATGAGACTTCATTTTTTAAAAAAAAACAATTATTTTGAAAACTAAGAGTCGGCAAAATGGCTCAAACAGTGTCTTAGTTAAGGTTTTATTGCTGTGAAGAGACACCATGACCATGGCAGTATAAAGAAAGACATTTAATGGAGGATGGCTTACAGTCTAGGAGGGTTAGTTAGTCCTTGATCATCATGGTGGCATGTAGGCAGACATGGTTCTGGGGAAGGGAGACTTCTACTCATGGTTCACAGGCAACAGGACCTAGCTTGAGCATATGAGACCTCAAAACCCGAGTTCACACCGTGACACACTTCCAGCGGCCACACCTCATAATAGTACCACTCCCTATGGCCCAAGCATCCAGACTCCAGGACCTGTGGAGGCTGTACCTATTCAAACCACCACAAATGGTAAAGGCACTTGCCTTGTGATTCGGGTGAGCCAAGTTCTATCCACAGATCCCATGAAAACACAGTTTTATGTAGTTTCTGGATGTCCCTTGACATACCAACTGTGGTGTTTTGAATAAGAATGGCTCTTCCTAGAAGAGGTCCTGAGTTCAATTCCCAGCAGCCACTTGATGGCTCACAACTATCTGTAGTGAGATCTGGTGCCCTCTTCTGGTGTGCAGGCAGAAATGCAGATAGAGTAAATAAACCTTAAAAAAAAAAAAAAAAAAAAGAGGGCTGGAGAGATGGCTCTCAGTGGTTAAGAACACTAATTGGTCTTCCAGAAGTCCTGAGTTTAATTCCCAGCAAACACATGATGGTTCACGACCATCTGTAAAGAGATCTGGTGCCCTCTTCTGGCCTGCAGGGTTAATCAATCTTAAAAAGAAAGAATGGCCCTGTATAGGCTCATCTATTTGAATACTTGGTCCCTCAATGGTAGGGCTGTTGGGAAGGATGAGGAAGTCTGGCCTTGGTGCAGGCAGGTATGCCACTGAGAGGGTGGACTTCGGGGTTTCAAAAACTCCATGCCATTCCCAGTTAGCTCTCTGACGTGTGATTGTGTGTCAGCTACGGTCCCATGCGTGTCTACCTGTCTGCTGCCATGCGACCCACCTTGACGGTCATGGAGTCACACTGTGAGACTGTAAGCACAAATGAGCTCTTCCATTGAGTTGCCTTGGTCATGGTGTCTCTTCACAGCAATAGCAACATAGCTAAAAACGCCAACTATTAACCAGAGGAAAATTAGAACCCTTTTCTCAATTCTGATGGGCCATGCTCTGACTCCAGCATTTCAGGAGAAGGGGCAGGAAGATGAAGGTCAGGCTGGACTACACAGCACGGCTCAGGCTGGTCTCCCGAGAGCATTGCTCTGTCCCAACCTCCTCTCCTGGGACCCTGGAAATGTCTCCTAGCACTACACACACGTGGGAATCTGTTACCTCCTGCCTATTGTCACTGGAATTAGTATAATCTGTATCTTTTGTTGTTGTTGGAGACAGGGTTTCTCTGTGGGATAGTGCTGACTGTCCCGGAACTCACTCTGTAGACCAGGTTGGACTCGAACTCACTGAAATCTGCCTGCCTCTGCTTCTCCAGTGCTGGGATTAAAGGCGTGTGCCACCATTGCCCTACTTTAATCTATACTCTATCTACCTGACAAGGTGAAACAGGTGGCAACACATGTTTAGCCTAAGGTGACCACAGGATAAGAGATGGGTACAGTAGCCGGAGGATTAATGGTGGCTTGGGGCTTCTAAGTATATAATTTTTAACTCTTTGAAAATTCCGTGTATATATTTTGATTACATCTATCCACCATCCCCCTGCTTACCACTAACACATCCTTCTCCCAGCTTCATTTCATAGATAAGTCATTCTCCTCCCCTTCCTCCTCTCCTCTGTTTACTCTACAGGGCCCTGCATGGACCCTGGAGGCACCGTGAGCAAGCCTGAAGCTGTTGGCTGGAACATCTTTTCCCAGAGTTGTTACTAGTACTCTTCCCGTTTTGCTAACACACATCTGCTGGGGAGGAACTAAGCCTGAAAGCATATATTCTTGACCCTGGATTGTTTTCCACTGTGCCGTGAGTCAGTATATAAGCCGGCTCCTTCCGCTCAACAAACGGCATTCCTGTTGCACGATTAGTACTGCCCAAGTGTGCAAGGGTGTGGGTCTATCCACTGGAGCCTGAGCAACATATCCGTTGCCATACTTGCAAAGAAAAATGACCCTTTAAAGGTCTCTTCTAGGGCTGGAGAGAAGGCTAGGCAGTTAAGAGCACTTATTCTCTGAGGACTCGGGTTGGATTCCCAGCACCCACATCGGGCAACTGACAAACCACCTGACGATCCAGTTCCAAAGGATCCAGTGTTCGGTGAGCATGGCCTGCGTGTTAGTTTGAATGTAATTGGCCCCTGTCCTGGCTGGTAGTGTGTCAACTTGGCACAAGCTAGAGTCATTCGAGAGGAAGGAGCCTCAGCTGAGGAAATGCCTCCATGAGATCCAGCTATAAGGCATTTTCTCAATTAGTGATCAATAAGGGAGGACCCCGCCCACGGTGGGTGTGGCCATCCCTGGGCTGCTGGTCTTGGGTTCTATAAGAAGGTGGATTGTGCAAGCTATGGGTAGCAAGTCTCTGCATCAGCTCTGCCTCCAGGTTCCAGCCCTGCTTGGGTTCCTGTTCTGACTTCCCTCAGTGATGAACAGCAATATGGAAGTTTAAGCTGAAAAAAACCCTACCCTCCTCAGCTTGCTTTTTGGCCATGGCATTTTGTTGCACTAGAAACCCTAGCTAAGACACCCTCATCAGTTAGTTCATAGAAAATGGCACTATTAGGAGGTGTGGCCTTGTTGGAGGAAGTGTGTCACCGTGGGGGGTGTGCTTTAACTTTCAGACCATTTCCTGTTACCTGCAGGATGTAGGGATGTAGGATTCTCAGCTCCCTCTCCAGCACATCTGCCTGCATGCTGCCATGATTCCCGCCATGATGATAATGGACTGAACCTATGTATGTGTGTGAGCCACACCTATGAAATGATTTCCTTTATAAGAGTGGCACCATGGTGTCTTGTCACAGCCATAGAAACCCTAAGACAGCATACGAATGGTGCAGATATACACATAGGAAAACATCCATACACATAAAAATCTTTTAAAAAAATTAAGGGGATAATCGAGCGGGATTGATGGCTCAGCTGCTAAGACTGTTTACAGCTCTTGCCGAGAACCAGAGTTCAGTTCGCATCATTCACACTGAGCGACAACTGTTTGTAACTCCCAACTTCAGAGCATCTGACACCATCTTCTGGCTTCCACAGGCACCTGCACACATGCTCATAATGCATGCACCTGTTTTTTGAGAACCAACAACGTACAATCCTGATTTATCTGCGTGGGAATTGAGCAGGGTGAAGAATTAAGCTTGGCATTAGTGTTGCCAGGCAGAGGAGGTGCACGCCTTTGATCCTCGCACTCAGGAGGCAGAGGCAGGCAGAGCTCAGCAGAGCTCTGTGAGTACCAGGCCAGCCTGGTCTACAGAGCTACAGAGCGAGTTCCAGGACAGCCAGGGCTACACAGGGAAACCCTGTCTCTAAAAAGCAAAACAACAACAACAACAACAAAAATACAGATTGTAGGCAACTGTTCAACAGAAGCGCCATGTGAGGGCACACGAGCCAGAGTTTATCTCCCTGAGAGTTTTCATAGTTCTGGAATAATGGTGTTGGGCCACCTGTCTTTATGATTGTTTGGTAATCTTTCCTTTTCAGACATATTCTCCTAAGAGGCTAAATATCCTCTCTTTGTGGAACCTGAGTAGTTTTTCTTCCTTACCTGGATGCATTTTTATAATTTCCTTTTATTTATTTATTTATTTATTTTTCCTTTTTTTTTTTTTTTTTTTTTTTTTGTTTTTCGAGACAGGGTTTCTCTGCATTGCTGTAGATCAGGCTAGCCTTGAACAAACAGAGATCCACTTGCCTCTGCTCCCAAGTGCTGAGATTCAAGGTGTGCGCCACCAACGCCCAGCTGCTTCTTGAGAAATTCAGTGTATCTATTACTTGGCCTCCTCTCTTCTTCTACCTCCTTCTCTTCTCCCTCCTAGCCCTCCCCTTCTCTTTAAGCAAGGTCCCAGTTTCCTTCAGGTTAACCTGGAACTTATACTGTAACCCAGGGCAGCAGGAGCACATCATCATCATTACCATCATCACCATCATCATCATTATAATAATAATCATCCTACCTCAGCCTCCCCAGTGTCTGGTTTTTTGTTTGTTTGTTTCCTGACAGTTTTACTATGTAGTTCTGTAACTCATAGTAATCCTCTTGCCTCTGCTTCCCAAGTACTGGCATCTCAGGCATATGTGCTGCTACATTCTTATTAAGTGCTCAAAGGTTCCAAGCACATCTAGAATAAGGACAGGAAGTTGAGAACAACTCCAGAGCCTGCAGACTCTTAAAATTCTGAGAAGCTAATACAAGGGAAGGAAGGACAGTTATTCTATGGCAGAGATGACCGGGAAGCCTGCGATGCTCAGAGTGCAGTCAGCATCAGCACCATCTGGGAACACCTTAGAAACTATCGGGAGAGGGGGCTCCGGGCTGAGGTATCACTCAGCTAGTAGGATGCTTGCCTACTCTACTGCTGTGTTCTATCGATAGCACCACATAAACCAGGTGTGGTGAAGGTGCTCGCTTTTAGTCCCAGCTCTCTGGAGGCAGAGGCAGGTGGATCTCTGAGTTGGAGGCCAGCCTGGTCTACAGATCGAGTTCTGGGACAGCCAAAGTTACACAGAGGAACCCTGTCTCAAAAAATCAAAAAAAAGAAAAAAGACCAAACCCAGAGAGCCGTTACAGGCAGGGTGATGGAGAAAGGTCCTGAAGGAGAGTCTTTTGAGAAGGGACCCACTTAGTTAAACTTCTTTGGAGCCTGTCCTGAAACTTACTTTGTAGACCAGGCTGGACTGGAACTCACAGAGATCCACCTGCCTCTGCCTCCTGAGTGCTGGGCACATTATGATTCAGCAAAATTGCCTGATCTCCAGAGCAAGTACCAGGACAGCCAGAGCTAAATAAGCACAGACAAACCCTGCCTCAAAAAACAAAACCAAAACCCAAACCAAAAAAACACAGTAGCAAAATTACAGCTGTGAAGTACAAAGAAAACAATGCTATGGTTGGGTTCGCTACAGGAGGAACCGTATTAAAGGGTCCCAGCAGTGTTAGGAAGGGTGAGAACCACCGCTCTAGAAAGGCCCCTGGAGGAAGGGCAGTATCTGACTGACTTTCAATCCTTCCAGGGGGTGGGCAGTGGGAAGCTGGACTGCAAGTAATTTAGTTCAATGTCAAACCTGTGACAAGGAGCATGGAGGAGCCAGGTACTGGGTAAATAAAAAGGCGTAAAAACCTACAGCCCAGCACAGCATTTTAACTCACGACCCCACCCAAGGCTGTACAATGTCCAGAGGTTCAAATATAACTCAAAAGGATGTTATAGCTAGACTCCTGGGCGTTTAAGAGTCTAGGTTCATCCTGTGCTTTGTGCTAGCGATGAAAGGTGATTCCTCCTGATCATGTCCTTCTTCGTAAAGATATGTGGCCGGATGACATGTACACGCACTGCGAGCCTTGGCCTGCTCTAGCATTTTCCGGAGCTTCTTGCAGTCTCAGATTCGTGACCCAGTGTATTATACAACCCTCTTCTTTATCGTCACGAACAAGGGCACCCTGTTGCAGGAAACTGCCCGAGGTCTGACAGGTGTACATCCGGCTAGAATTGACTTGTGATGCAAGGCTTCCACACACCTCCTTTCTGTGTTCTTTGGGTAGACAAACACACGAGAGAAAAATCACATGCCCATTTAATTAAATGTTTATTTAATGAAAGGATGTATAAAAACTTACAAATCTGAGAACTCAGCTATACATAGAAGAGGGTGATGGGATGTTCAGTTTCTAACATACACGTACGGTATAGCTACGCACTATCCCCACCCCTCACCCCTTAGCCCTCGCTTCTGGCTCCTGCTGCATCCTGTAAGACCATTTTCTTATTGGCCCAAGGGAAGATTAATGGACAACTTTTAATGCTGTTAGGCCAGTGGGGAAAATTTCAGGTGTTAACAAAAATTGGAGGATACATGTCAAAATCAATTGGTTTTTCTTTTCCTCCAAGAAGGATTTTTTTTTTTTTTTTCATCCTGATTTCTCTTGGTTATTTTTTGATGCTTTAGTAGATGTCACCAGTGAACTATGGGCACTGCATTTTTTTTTTTTTTTAAAGCAAGGTCTCTATGTAGCCCAGACTGGCCTCAAATTCCCAATTCTCCTGCCTTCACCCTACCTCTACCCCTCTCCTAGCGATGGGGTCACAGAGGGGCACCATGAAGCCTGTCAGCATCAACTTTTAGGCTCATTAGTTACTCTTTCCACTCACAACTTCCCTTGTAAGATGCGCATTTCTACAGCCCTTTCCTGGCAGCATACACACACTGACTTTACAGGCAGCTGGCTGGGGCTGACCCGCTCGCTCACAGCTGGCAACTGCTAGGAAATGGCCTGGCATTGGCTGTTCGGAAAGACATACTACAGAATCGTGCTTTCAGATCGGATTCTCAAACAAGCTTGTCAGAAACCAAAACCCAGCATCTTCTTGGTCCTCTTGGAACGAGGCCAGCGTCGGGTAAGGCATGCGCCTCAGTTCTCCTGTGTGTAGCAAGTGCCCACGTGTCCGCTCACATACAAACTCACAGCCCGTCAGGTTTGATCCAAAAATGAAGATTGCCATCACATTATTACACCTTTGCATTTTGTCGGTTTCCTAACTAGTGATTTTCCTTAACTGGACATAATCTCAAAAGGATACACTTGGAAATCAGACACCCGGAGGGCAAATAGTAAAAACATTTTCTTGGGTTTCAAGTTTCCCCACACCTTCTAGATTTGCATAGCAGAGCCCAGCTTTATCTCTAAGAAGCATGCTGTAGTTTCCGACTTTGTTTCTTTGAGAAGGAAGACTTATTACCCAGGGACAGTCATAATTTTAGCTTACCAAATTATATTCTAGTTGTTTTATTATATACTCTTAATTATTTCCAAGTAGGTTTTTAAAATAATCTAAAACTTCTCAAAACCTATTTCTTTATAAATCCTACTGACCATTATCCATCCAATATCCCCTGAATTAAAGTAAATAGAGTCCAGGGTTATAATGCACAAAGCCTTACGGGGATGGGGCTGGAGAAGGGGACAGGAAAGGAGTGGGCCCCTTTGTATCATGCCATGGAGAAACTGTCCCGAATTGGAGGGGGGAGGGAGGGTCTGTGTAAAAATGACAGTTTTTAAAAAGACAAGTCACATTCAGTCTAGTAATACAGTTTCCTGTTCCTTTTTGATGGACGCTAACACAGGACGGTCGGATTCTGTTACTTCCGAGTCCCCACTGCCCAGGAGGACCGAGCGGCCCTCGTCCAGGGCAAACACGTCCGAGTTCTGGTTCTGGCAGGAGTGTTTGACCACCTCGTTGGGGGTGGAGAATGTCTTGTCGCACAGGTTACACTTGTAGGGCTTATTGGCCTGCACCAGCATGTTGTCCATCTGGCTGCCCTCCTCGAAGGTGCAGAGCTCCAGGGTCTGCTTGTCCACCATGGTGTACGTGTCGATGCTCTGGTTGAGGCACACGTGGCGCGCGGCCTGATTGGCCCTGCAGAAGCTCTTGTCGCAGGTGCTGCACTTGAAGGGTTTGCCCGTGTGGATGTACATGTGCTCGCGCCAGTGGCTTTTCTGGATGAACTTGCGGCCGCAGATGGTACACTCGTACTTGCGTCTCTTCACCTCTCGCTCCTGGTCCGCCTGCTCCAGGTTGTCAATGTCTGCAATGTCCGAGGGCGGCGGTGTCTCCGACTGTTGCTGCCCATCGATGATGGGGGAGTCGGAGATGTGCTGCAGCTCACTATCGCTGATCATCCCCGCCTCGGGCACTTCCAGAGCCTCCTTGCCCAGGTCGGCCGCATTGCTGCAGAGCGACAGGGGCCCGCGGCCTTCCCCGGGCGGACCCGCCATGAAGGGCACCCCGGTGTGGATCTGCAGGTGCTCCCGCAGGCTGCTGCGCAGCGTGAAACGCCGGCCGCACAGGTGGCAGGCATAGTACTTGGGGAAGCTTCCATTCCTCTTCATGATGCTTGGCTTCACGTGGGCGATCGTGAGGGACGACGGCTGCTCGTCTGAGGAGGAGGCCTCCAGGTTGGTCTCCTCCCCAGGAGGAGGGGGAGGAACAGGCGTGGAGACAAGTTCGGGTGACAGCGAGGTCTGCAGGGGGTCCGCGGGAGTCACGTTTGTCCGATTCACCTGTGCCAGGTTCGCAGTCAGCTGGGTCAGTTGTGAGGTCTCGGGCACCGGCTCTTGGTTCATCCTGGGTGGCTGGGGCCTTGGCTCCCGCCCAAGTTTCTCAGGCCCTAAATTCATCTTGGTGGCTTGTCTGAGCTGGTGATCTGCGATCTGAATGCCATACAAGGATGAGGCCAGCGGGAAGACTTGCTCGGGATGGGAAAAGGTGCCTTGGCTGGCGAGGCTGGCTTCCTGGATGAGGGGGTATGCGTGCAGGAATTTGATCCCTTGCTCCAACCGCACAGGGTCGATCAGCTGTGGGGCCATCTTCCCGGTGTACATCAGGTGGAGCAGATAGCTGAATATGTCAGGCTGTATGTCAGTGGGTTTCAGGCGAACACATTCACTGAAAAACAGTAGAAAGCCATGAAGAAACACCAAGCTACTACTTAGATGGAAACAAAGCCTGAAGAACCAGGACACTTGGAAGAGCACTTCTGTGGAGTCTCTCTCTCATCAGGCTGACAGAGCTTCATTACAGACCCAGTTCTGGGCTCAGCAGCCAGGGTGAGGTAAGTTAAAAAAAAAAAATGTAATCTGATTAGAAAGCCTTTAAAGCGGTAAATAGACACAGGCATAGCATAGCAACAGTTAAGAGCAGAATGCTAAACTGTTGGAGGTCCACAGCTCTAGGAGTCATGTGACCTCTGCAGCAAGGGGCAAGTGAGCCTGGTCACCTTCCCGGTGTTGCCAGGTGGCACTGGAAAGCGGTATGGACAACACAATCTTCATCAATGTCATCAGCATGGGCTTTACAGCCATTCTAGTTTGCAGGTGGCGAGGCCCCGGGCTAGCACTATGCTCACCTTAGGCTTGGTGAGTGGTAGGGCTGGGACTTTAACTTAGACCTACTTAATTCCAAAGCCACGCAGACATCCTTCAGAGCAATAAAACAGCTCTGTGGGGGCAGGCAGACGCTGGGTTTCATTAGTCACATCTGAATGGTGGCAAACCACCTATGCAGATAGTCAGCGGGCATCTGCCTCTCAGACTGACGCCACCCAAGCTCTCCTCAGACCATCGTTACCAGGGGAAGTTCTACTGTATCCTGAACACAATGAGACGAGGACTCTGTAGCACAGGAGGCAGACAGTATCACCCATGGAGTGAATATATCCTATGCATTTTCGGAAATAGATCCCTTGAACATCTTAAAATTTACAATAATTTTGATTATGTCTTTTCTTGGCATTAATGACCTTTTTTGCAGGTTTAGCAATTATAGCTACTTTTGTTAAGTCAATTATCTCACTATCCTAAAATGTTAACAGCATAGCATATCCAATTTCCTAAATTTGACACTTTATTAAAATAAAAATGGATGAGCCAAGCATGATGTATAATCCTAGCACACAGGGGGCTGAGGCAGGAGGATTGTCTGAGCTTCAAGGCTAACCTAGCTATGGTGAGAGACTAAAGAAAAAAAGTAGTAAAAGGACAGAGAAAAGGCTAATTTGATTTCAAGATGGACTTCTGACATGACAATAATGAGTAATTACTGGATAGGTACCACGATGTATATTTCATGAAAACGTAAGACTTCATACCATACTCATATTTAACTACAAAACACCAGTGTTAAACAGTACAATGAAGGTATACAACCTAGCATCTACCTACAAAAAAAAAAAAAAAAAGGGAAATTTGAGTTTGATATTGTCTTCTTTAAAACAACAACAACAAAAACCTGTCAGATGGTTCATTATTGTTAGTCTCTCTCCCTCTCCGAGACAAGATCTTCCTGTGTATCCTGTGGATCAGGCTAGCCTGGAACTCACAGAGATGCACCTCCTGCCTCCCAGTGTTAGAACTGAGTATGTGTACCAGCCACTGGCATGGTCAGGCAGACTCACAGAAGCCTGAGCCTTCGGAGACGTATGCTTCTCCACGAGAGGAGTACCGTCCTCAATCGAGGAGGGAAATCCAGGCAGGGCTTCCTTTCACCATTCACAAAGGTCCTACCCCCGCTGAGCCTCTTTCCACAAGGGCTTGCAGTTGCCCAAGGTGGTTGGACAGGCCATTGTGTTGATTGTTTCTAAGTAGTTAGTGACAGTAATGAGCCTCTCCAGTTGACGGGACGGAACTGGGAAGTCAACGCCCTACACTCCAGCCAGGTCTGGAAGGAGTGATGGGGGGGGGAGGGGGGAGTCGGGAGTCCCTGGGGCTGCCCAGCAAGCACACGTGTACACTTAGGCGTGCATTTCCTTCCCTGACATCCCAGCTGCTACTGAAGCCCTACGCCCCTTTTATGCAGGGCTGGCTGGGCCTCCCTTTCTTTCTATCCACTCGCCATGATAGGGGCCAGACTCACTTCCTCATCTTCTACAGTACACAGCCAATTCCACCTAAGCTCTGTCCTACGGACACCTGCCAGCTGTCTCACTTCTGTGCGAGAGAAGGGCAAAGGGAGTGTTAGCCCAGCCACAAATGCTGTTGCACAGCCGCTCTCCTAGTAATTCCAGGTTCAGCTTCTCCTTCACTAGAGTTTTAGGACAAGAGTCTTAAATAATGCTCAAATGCTCAACCTTTTTTTCTTTTCTTTTCTTCTTTTTTTGAGACAGGGTCTCGTTATGTAGACCAGGATGGCCTTGAACTCACAGAGACCCGCCTGCCACTGCCTCTGAAGTAAGTGCTGGATTAAAGGCACATGCTATTACGCTCAGCAGGTTAGTCTTAGCATGAAGCTTTATTGTGGAGCGCTCCATCTACAGAGGAAAGATCGACACCTAGTGGTAACTACAGGACTCGAAGGACCCAGTCATGGGCTCAGTCTTTGGCTGGAGGCAGGCAGCACACAGCGGCTCTCTGCTCTGTGTGTGTGTGACAGTGACCTTGAATTCCGCATACAGTGCTGTACAAGGAGGGCCACCAGGTGGGTGCTCTCAGATGCAAAGGGAATAACTAAAAGACAAAAGAAAGGCCAAGTGGGTACCTGTGGGTGGGCCCTGCCAAGGTACGCCACCAAGCGAACAGGCCATTGGAAACAGGGTTAGTGGAGGGGCTTATCGGGAGAGGGGTGAGAGCAAAAGGTCACCCTTTGGAGGTGGGGCCTGAGAGGCCGGCAGGCAGGAAGACAGAGAAACAGGGAGGACAGGGAGGAGAGGCAAGAGAGCGGGCTGTGCTGTGCCCGCGGGCACTTGTAAGGGCACACATGCAGATGCGGCAGAGCTGACGGAGGGAAGGCGCTTGGCGACAGGCGATGACGTAACTGCCTTGACGGCCTCAGCACAAGCTAACACATCCCTTTCTTAGAAAGACATTTGTTCACCGCCCTATACATGAAATAAGGGATGTTTCTCGAATCTAATTAATACACATTATATTGTCTTTTATGCTTCAAAATTAAAGACATTTCTTTTTTTTTTTTCCTTTTTGGTTTTCGAGACAAGGTTTCTATGAAAAGCCTTGGCTGTCCTTGCTCTGTAGACCGGGTTGGCCTTGAACTCACAGAGATCCACCTGCCTCTGCCTCCAGAGTGCTAGGATTAAAGGTGTGCACCACCACAGCCCAGCTAGACATTGCTTTTGGCAGGTCATTTGGGTCACTGTGTTGAGATTAATGGCTGTAATTGACATCTTCTACAAAACGATGTTAAAAGATGGCGAGTACATACACAGATTGGTTTTGAGATAGGGGTCTTGGCTGGTCTAGACTGGACAACTTTCCTGCCTCAGCCTCCCCTCCAAGTGCTAAGATTACAGGAATACATCTCATGTGCCCTGTTTAAAGGAAATAGTCTCAGTGACTTTTCCTCAGAGCTAAGTCACTGGCTCCTGGCCCTTCTGCTCCTCCAGATGTTTACAAGTGACCATTAGAAGCACACACCTCAGCCATACCCTGTGGTGTTCCAGGAGATCTATCAAAACTCACTACGTGTGTGTGCGTGTGTGGTGTGCATACGTGCGTGCGCGTGTGCGCGTGCGTGTGTGTGTGTGTGTGGTGTGCGTACATGCGTGCGCGTGCGTGTGTGTGGTGTGCGTGTGTGGTGTGCGGGCGTGCGTGCGCGTGTGCGCGTGCGTGTGTGTGCGTGGCCTGAGTAGATAGATAGCAGGAGTGGGAAGTACACAGAGTGCAATGTAGAGGAGATGCTGCCGTAAGCAGCACAGTATAGATTTTGTCCACTTGACTAGGAAGAAGGCGAGGATTAGGGACATCAGGGAGTGGGCGGGACACTCAGAAAGTTTGGTTCAGGTGAGTGAGCCACAAAAGCAGGCAGGTCAAAGAGAAGATGGTGTCCTGGTGATGAGTGCCCCACTCCTAGGAGCCAGACTAAGCAGCCTGCCCAGACTGGCCTGCTCAGTGTCCGCTCTCCTAAGTTCTGGTCAAAGGCATGCCTTACCCAGTCTCCAGGAATACTCAGCTGACAGCGATGTGGGAGATGAACACTCACAAAATGAGGGTAAGAAAGGAAGGACGGAGGAGCACATGGGCCATGTACTGAAGAGCTATGGGGGGAGCTATTGGGGGGGTACCATATGGTCTGAGATAGATGTGAAGCTTGGGCTACTTCGGGGGAAGAGCCTTTTCAGTTTTAGCCATGTTTAATGAAAAAACCGGAAGGGTGGCAGTTGGGTCTCAATGACCAGCAGGCAGCCGGGGGCAGGGCACTTAGGAACAGGGTTCTGCAGACAGAAAGACGGAGGCTGGAGCTAAAACTGCAAAGTTTCCAACAGCAGAGGCAAAGCCTGAAAAGATGACCCGTCCGCCACAGACAATGTGCAAGGACAGTCGGGGCTCAGGAGGCCCAAGGCCCAGTGCAGAGGGGAAGAACAGAGGACATTTGGTCACAGGTGAGGACTGCAGTGGAGACAGGAAGCCACAGTGCAAATGGACAGGAACAATGTGGGATGAGCAGATCCACAAAGGCGCACGCTGCCCTTTTAAGAAGGTTCAAGAACAGAGAACAGGGCCGTATTCCAGGAGCCAGCAAGGTCAAGGAAGGTCTTCTGCTCAGACCGGGCAGGGAGGGACGGGGAAGAGAAGAGTTATGAAGAACAGAGGAAAACGGAGATGGGAGGGAGGGAGGGAGGGGAGGGAGAGGGGGATTATCTTCCTCACACACCCAGAGGTTCTTTTCTCTAAGAATCTCATTTAGGAGAAATCAAAGGGGAAAAGAATCCTAAGAGCAAAGTCAGATTTCACATTAGAAAAGAGGGAAATGGAATTTGTACCCTCCAGCCCCTCATCTGAAACTAAGCATTCAAAAGCGGGGTATTCAGGGACAGGGCCTGGAGGAGGGCTTACGACGGGGCCACGGAGACGGAGACGGAGGTCTCCTGCCAATCATAGGTGCTACTCAGGCAGAAGGCAGGTTGGAAGGGGAGGGCCGGCGGGGAGCCGGAGTGGGGGAGGGGTTGGGGGCTGATTCCCAAGTACTAATGAAAGAATCAGTCACCAAGAAAGGCAGGGAAAAGGTGGGCTTGCAGGGGCCTGGGGTGGGGGGGTCTGGATGCCAGGGAGAGGCAGAGAGACCCGTGGTCTGGATGAAGGCAAAGAGTGTGCTCGGTGGGAAGAGGGACCCAGAGTCAGGAGGGCTACAGCCACAGGTTATTATCAACCACTTTAGTTACCTGGTCTGATGGACAAACAACATCTTAAAGTAATTGGAGAATGAAGCAAGAACTGATTTGTGTGCCTTGAAGTACACATCGCCGATTGCAACCGTGCAGTCACACAGGAACCCAAACTCTCGCTGAGCGTTTAACTGCTGCAGTAGAATAAGTCCATGGTTGGTCAAATCCATTTTTTAAAAAAATCTGCAAAGTAAACAATTTTATTTTTAAGAAAGGTGTTCCACAAATAAGAATGTGTCCTAACGTTATAGTAATGTTCACAGCTAACATGTCATCAAGGCTAACATGTCAAGGCGCTATCAGACAAGGTACATACATCAACTCGTTTAATCCACAACAGTCCTTGGACTGGGACCTGCCAGTATTCAGGTTCGGACGATGTCATGGGGTAACTCGCGGAAGCTGGGGCATGAACCCAGGTAGTGTACCTGCAAGCCTCCGTGGAGCGCCTGGCCCTTTAAAGACCCCAAAGCAAGCACTACTGATTGCTGAGAACTCGACCAATCAATCTTCCGCCAAGACAGAAGCCCTGAAGGGCTGGGAGGAGGCACAGCAAGGCTTCTCTTCCACCTTAAAGCCTTGCAAATCCATCAGCCACGGCACTCCACCTCTCTTTTGTGGAGGAGGAAATGGATTTGGAAATTTGTAAGTAAGTTGCCTCCAGGCCTTTCACCGGGAAGGCAAAGAAGTCAAAATTTAAATTTGAATGCACCTACTTCAAATTCTGTGTTTTCCATCCTTCAGTCAGTGAACCACAGTCCTTGGGACCTGATCTGTTTACTGTGAGAAGCAGCCGGGCCCTGGCAGGTTCTTGAAATCCCTAGGTGGGTGCTTTTTTCATAGCCACACCAGGAAAGCCCACCCCAGGGGCCAGCACTGTTTTCCCTGAAACTGGAGCCAGGCAAAGAAGTGCACCCTTCTTTTCCCTCCTGCAGCACCCAGAGTGGGGGGTAAAAACCAAAGCAAGGTGGAGAAGAAAGTCTACAGCCAGGAAAAAAGGAAGCAGATCTGTAGTGTGCGGAATCCAGGCCATTTTTACAACAGCTTCTATAACTAGTAAGGGATTGGTAAGGTGCAAAATGATCAAAACGCAACCCCCAACTCTCACTAATTGTAATTCCATACACTAGGAGTGAACATAGAAATGGGACACACACGGCCATTACAATCCGAGTCATGAAAACCACAAGTGAATCTAACAAAATGTGTAGGAGTGGAACGCAGAAGCTGCGGAGTTCCAAATCCTCAGCAAGACTCCTTTCTGTAGACAGACAAGATTGTTCAAAAATGTGTGGACAGGCGAAAGAAGGAAGACTACGTTTTTAGAAATGAACACGAAAAGAGCCCCTCGACTCCAGCCCAGATGTGAGAGGCACAGGATGCCAGACTGGCATTAGAAGAGGTGGACATACTTCAACAGAGCCTGCATGGAGCCTGGATGGAGCTCAAGCACTGAGAGGCAGTGTGGCTGTTCCAGGGGCAGCAAGACCACAGCGCGGTGCTGGCCGAGCTGGACCTCCAGAGGCAAACCTCAAACTTTCACTCACAAACTAAAAAAGGCACCCCCGGACTTAAGTAGAAAGCATACAACCATCAGAATTTTAGGGGGGAAAAATTCCAAAACGTAGGGATCTACAAAAGGAGAAAGCGGCAAGGAGGACTTGGTGAAATTACAAGGGTTGGCTCCCGGGACAGTTCCCGCTAAGAGGATGGACAGGCAGGCAGCGAAGGGACTGGGAGAAAGCACGGAAACTTCCCAGCTCCTCAGAAGGTCTGCACTTACAACGTACAGAAAGAACTCCGAAAGTCACCAGCATGAAATAAACCCAGAAGTGAGACATACGTGAAGGTCACCAGAGGGGAAAGACAGATGGACAGTGGACAGACAGTGTTCAGTAGCGCCAGCCCCCAGGGAAACAGGAACGGCGTGAGCACATTCATGGTGGGCGGGGTGGAGGGTGGGGGTTGAGGACGCAGAGGAGCTGGCTCCTGCAGCTGCTGCTGAGCTCGCTCGGGAGGTGGTACAGATGGCCTGGAGACCACATGCAACCCAGAGGCTACTCTGAGACATTTATCCCAATAAATGAGGGTGTACTTTTGCACAAAGCTGTACATTAATGTTTGGAGTGGTTTCACCAGAAACAACCCAGCTACCCTTTGGTTGTTGAATGGTGAGGCTGTGGCAATGAACCCCTCAGTCACTGGGAGAGATGAACCATTGCTGGCCTTGGTGGCAAACACCCTAATCCCAACTCTCCAGAGGCTGAAGTGTGTGTGTGTGTGGGGGGGGTGGTGGTGAGAAGGCTGTGAGTTTGGGGCCAGCCTGGGCTGCGGTGAGACTGTTTCTGGGACGAAACAAAACAGAACAAACAATTGTAGACAGAAGATACAAGCGTGAGCTATATATTCAGCGACAGTGGCAAAGCACCAAGGATTTGATTGATGCTGTGTGAGTCCTTGGGTATAACAGCCATGCCATATAGAGACGTGGAGAAGACTTGCAGTGCTAAGGCGAGGGAAGCAGGCGGTATTGCTGCGAAAAGGGTACCCTGAGAGATACCTATAGCATTCCACAGACGTCAACGTCATTAGTGGAAATACAGCCCAGCCCATACAGGGTCACCTAACTGTGGAGGAATGGTAACAACAAAGCATTTCTCAACATGGCAGCAAAAGGCAGTTACAGTAGCCTTGTGGGGGTCTGAGGTGCTGGGGGCAGGGGCCTCAGCCCAGCCATGTCTGGACTGAGCAGTGAATGTAGCCCCTCTGGACAGATGTGTGATGGCTCCGCCGTGGAGATGCGCATGCTTTGTGCTTTCCCAGAAACAGTGGTTTGATCAAGGAAAACATGATTTAGAGTGTGTTCCTGCCAGGCGGAGGTGGCAGACACCTTTAATCTCAGCACTCAGGAGGCAGAGATAGGTGGATGTGGATCTGTGAGTTTGAGGCCAGCCTGGTCTACAGAGCGAGTTCCATGGCAGCCAGGGCTGTTATACAGAGAAGCCCTGTAGAGGAGGAGGAGGGTGGGGAGGAGTGTTTCCTGGCTTTCGTACCTCAGCATCTAAGTATCAAGTTATTGTACATGTGGATTGTTAGGAAACTTTACAATGCCAGACTGCAAAAAAAAAAAAAAAAAAAAAAAAAAAAACTCTCCACAGAGAAGCTGTCTCAACCCCCAAACCCCAAACAAACAAATAAACAAAAAACCCAAAATGTTGTTTCACTGGCTGACTTGAGTTTCATTAAAAACAAAACAAAACAAAAACAAAACCCACCGGGTGTTGGTGGTGCAGGCCTTTAATCCCAGCACTGGGGACACAGAGGTAGGCGGATCTCTGTGAGTTCGAGGCCAGCCTGGTGGACAGAGCGAGATTCAGGACAGGCTCCAAAGAGAAACCCTGTCTCAGCACCCCCCCCAAACAAAACAAACCCAGAACACCATTACACAAATGTCAGCTTGAAATTATGACAATTTCCAGTACACTGCTGCCATTTGTCACTACGTGCATATCTGGAATGGTGTTCTCAGTGCTGACAACCATACATCACAATACTCATGCACTGTGAGATGCTCTGCCTCCTGCAGCATCAACGGCCAGACCACGCACTGTTTCTCCCTGTCGATGACAGCAGCTGCTGATCATGGGCTGTTCACTATTAATACCACTCACATACTATCATCTTATTTCACACTCGTGAGGTGTTTGGGGTCTAGCTACTTACGTTTTAGAGAAGGTAGAGCAGTAAGTTTTGAGACGTAGATTTAAGCAGGGGTCACTGGATTTTGTGTTTGTTTTGAGAAATACGTCTACTGTAAGACCCAAGCTGGCCTTGAACTTGTGTTACAACTGCCTCAGTCACTAACTATCACACCTGGCTTTGTGTTTTTTGTTTTTTAAGATTTATCCATTTATGACGTATACAGGGCTCTGCTTGCACGTATAGCTGCAGGGCCACAAACGGGCACCAGATCTCATTAGAGAGGGTTGTGTGCCGCTACCATGTGGATGCTGGGAATTGAACTCAGGACCTCTGCAAGAATAGCCAGTGCTCTTAACCTCTGAGCTATCTCTCCAGCTTGCCGCCCCTCCCCTGCTTTGTTTTAAATTAACAAGAGATACTATGTTTTTTTTTTTTTTGTGTTAATGATTTATGTATATGTACTTGTTATAAGAGATTCAGACATACAAATCTGAGTGCTGTCCCTCGTGCTGGGGGGATGGGACACCTAGGGCTTGCTGAATGCTACAGGTGAATACTCTGCTACTGAGCCACCCAACAGTCTACTTTGTTCAGACTCTTTTTAATATTGCCTTTTTCTCTTCCTATGATATTTAATGATGTGAAACATATATTAACCATTTCTGTCTCTTCATTAACTGTATCCATCCCCCCCACCCCCAGGCAGGGTTTCTCTGTGTAGCCCTGGCTGTCCTGGAACTCCTCTGTAGAGCAGGTTGGCCTCGAACTCAAGAGACCCTCCTGCCTCTGCCTCCCGAGTGCTGGGATTAAAGGCGTGGCCTCCCTCCAGGTCCTTGGTACCGGGGCCATTACTGGCTCCTGAGGGAATTCAGAGCTCCCTGCCCTGGCCCTCACTCTACAAGCTGCACTCTACACCTGGCTGGTCAGCGGGCTGGTGGCCCTCACTCAGCTGGAACCTCCAGCTCACTCCTGCTTGATCCAGAAAGCTGCTCTCCCTCTGTCCAAACCGCGCCCTCTGAGAGGATCTTCAGCAAAGCAAAGGCACCAAAAATCCCAGTTCCAAATTCTTGGCCCCTGCAGCAGCGCCTCCCCTGAAGTTGCCAGTAGCTCAAGCCCCCACCTAAAGTGCTCAGTTCTACCCTATTTGGGCACAGACCACCTCCAACCTATATAATCTCCCTGCTTTAGTTCAGATGTGTGGCTTCTCCTGCCTCGACCTCTGGGGCTGGAGAACTCACCTGAAAGTTGCTTTGCTCAACTAAACCTGTTCTTTTGCTTTTTCAATGGGGCTTGATCTGGCTGAGTGCATCAGCAGAAAAACCTGTTATCGCAATACAGAAAACCTATTAAGACCTACAGCTTAGGAACTTTCCTCTGGATCTTTGAAAATGCTACTTTCACAGAAGCTGTCCACTGACATGTGTACTCAGTCATATTTGTGTGTATTCACACACCTGTGCTCACACAACTGGCCCTGCCTC